ATGCGTTCGTATTTGCATCTCAATCTATTATGTAATTAGTAGAACATGTCTGTAATAGATGTACATAACTATCTTTTTCTGTAATAGTAGTACATAATAATTTTTTGATGCATTATCAAAATATTGATCTCGAATTTTTACCTATTTTTTTAAAAGGACCCCTAGTGTTAAATATGGACCGCAAGTCATCTGTGGGGGATCGCCCAGCAAGTGATCAAGTGGGGGATCGACATCAGCAAGTCGATCAAGTGGGGGATCGACACAGAAGTCGATGAGTAGGGGATCGACAAAAATCGATCAGTAGGGGGATGACCCAGCAGTCGATCAAGTGGGGGATCGACCGAGCAAGTCGATCAAGAGGGGGATCGCCAGCTAAGTCGATCAGTGGGGGATCGACTAGCAAGTGATCAAGTGGGGGATTCGACCAGCAAGTTCGATTAAGTGGGGGATCGACCCCAGCAAGTCGATCGTGGGGATGACCCGGAAGTGATCAAGTGCGGGATGCGAGCAGAAGTCGATCAAGTGGGGAATGACCCAGCAGTCCGATCAAGTTTGAGGGATCGACCGCAGTCGATCAAGAGGGGGGATCGACCAGCAAGTGATCAGGAGGGGGATCGACCCAGCAAGTGATCAACGAGGGGATGCGACCCAGCAAGTCGATAAAGAGGGGGATCGACCCAGCAAGTTCGATCGAAGTGGGGGATCGACACGCAGTCGATAAGAGGGGGATCGACGCAGCAAGTCGATTCAAGAGGGGGTCGATCCAAGTGATCAAGAGGGGAATGACCCAGAAGTCGATCAAGAGGGGGATGCCAGCAAGATCGATCAATGAGGGGGAATGACAACAGCAAGTCGATCAGGTGGGGATGACCAGCAAGTCATCTTAAGTGGCGGGATCGACCCACAGCAAGTGCTTCAATGTTGGGGGATCGGACCGCAATTCATCAAGTGGGGGATCGAACACAAGTCCGATAAGGGGGGATCGACCCGCAAATCGATCAAGTGGGGGATCGACGCCAGCATCGATGAAGTGGGGGAATCGAAAGCAAGTCGATTTAAGTGGGGGATGACAGCCAAGTCGATCAAGTGGGGGATGCGACCAGCAAGTCGATCAAGTGGAGGATCGACCCAGCAGTAGATAAGTGGGGGATCGCCCAGCAGTGATCAAGAGGGGGATCGACCCAGCAAGTCGCTCAAAGAGGGGATCGACGCAAAGTTCGATCAAGAGGGGGATTCGACCAGAAGTCGATAAGAGGGGGATGACCCAGCAAGTCGATAGAGGGGGATCGACCCAGCAAGTCGATCAAGAGGGGGATGACAGCAAGTCGATCAAGTGGGGATCGACCAGCAAGTCGAATTAGAGGGGGATGACCCAGAAGTGATCAAAGGGGATGACCAGCAAGTCGATCAGAGGGGGATCGACCACAGTCGATGAAAGAGGGGGATCGACCAGCAGTCGATCAAGAGGGGGATCGACACAGCAAGGTCGATCAAGAGGGGAATGCCCAGCCGTCGATCAAGAGGGGATGACCCAGAATTCATCAAGTGGGGATGACAGCAAGTCGATAAGTGGGATCGACCCAGCAGTCGATGCAAAGTGGGGATAGACCCAGCAATGCATAAGTGGGGGATGACCGCAGTCGATCAACGTGGGGGATCGCCCAGAAGTCGATCAAGTGGGGGATCGACCTGCAAGTGATCAAGAGGGGGATCGGCCAGCAAGTCGATAGTGGGGGATCGGCCAGCAGTATCAATGGGGGATCGACCCCAGCATCGATCAGTGGGGGATCGACCAGCAAGTCGATCAAGTGGGGGAATGACACAGTGATAAGTGGGGGGATGACCAGCAAGTCGATCAGGGGATTGACCAGCAAGTCGTCAAGTGGGGGATCGACCCAGCAAGTCGATCAGTGGGGGATGACCAGCAAGTCCGATCAAGTGGGGATGACAGCAAGTCGGATCAGTGGGGGATCGACCAGCAAGTTTCGCTCAGATGGGGGATCGACACAGCAAGTCGATCCCAGTGGGGGATGACCGCCAGTCAGTGATCAAGTGGGGGGATCGACCAGCAAGTCGAGCAAGTGGGGGGATCGCCAGCAACGTCGATAGTGGGGAATCGCCCCCCAGCAAGTCGATCAAGTGGGGATCGACCAGCCGTCGATCAAGTGGGGAATCGACCCAGCAAGTCGATCAGTGGGGATCGACCGCAAGTCGATCAAGTGGGGAATGACCAGCAGTCGTATCAGTGGGGAATCGACCAGCAAGTCATCAGTGGGGATCGACCCAGCAAGTGATCAAGTGGGAATCGACGCAGCAAGTCGATAAAGTGAGGGATCGACCCCCGCAAGTTGATCAATGGGGAATCGACCAGCAAGTGATCAGGGGATCGACCCGAGTCGATAAGTGGGGGATGCCAGCGTGATCAGTGGGGGATCGACCAGCAGTCGATCAAGTGGGGGAATCGACCCTCAGCAAGTCGTCAGGGGGATCGGCCAGCAAGTCGATCAAGTGGGGGATGACAGCAGTTGATCAGTTGGGGTATCGACCCAGCAGTCGATGAAGTGGGGAATAGGACCGCAAGTCCGATCAAGTGGGGATCGACCAGCAAGTGGATAATGGGGATCGCAGCAAGTCGATCAAGTGGGGGAATCGACCCGAAGTCGATAAGTGGGGAATCGCCCGAAGTGATCAGTGGGGAATTCGACCCAGAAGTGATCAAGTGGGGGAATCGACAGCAGTCGATGCAAGTGGGGATCGAATCAGCAAGTGATCAAGTGGGGAATCGACTCAGCAAGTCGGTCAAAGTGGGGATCGACTCAGGCAGTCGAATAGTGGGGAATGCTAGCAAGTCGTCAGTGGGGAATCGACTCAGAAGTCCAATCATGTGGGATCGACCCAGCAAGTGATCAAGTGGGGGATAGACACAGCAAGTGATCAAGGGGGGATGACCAGCAAGTCGATAAGTGGGGGATCGACATAGGCAAGTCGATCAAGTCGGGGTGACCAGTAGTACGGTGAAGTAAGACGATATGCTAGCAGTGTATAGTAGGGGTTCGATCCCAGCATTCAATATAAGTGGGGGTTCGACCAGAAAGCAGTTCGATATAGTGAGGAATAGACAGCAGAAGTCGTATAAGTGAAGGATGACCAGCGCAAACAGGGAAATAAACTCTCTAATGAACAACTCTAGGAGGTATCCAATTGCATCATTATGCTTTATTCATTTACGTAGTCTGTATAAAATGGATCCAATAATTAATTTATTCCTCAACGTTACAAATATAAGATTTTTGTATCATAATATTTTAACTTACTAAGTAAGCTGGTAAGTCTGATTCATACTATTTCTTTCGATGTCTTGTTCGGACGTTGGAGTTAGGATACAGCTCGAAACCGTATTTTTCATTGTTTAAAATTTGAAGTCGTAAGATTTTCCTCGGGCGAGTATATGCATGATCTTGGCTGTCCGGGTGACGCCGCGTCGAGATTGTTGCCCGACGTTTCGAACATCTTGTGTGTCTACAATGTCCATACATCTTATAATTGGGCATACAGTGCTGAAGGAAGACCACGAAAAATGGGTCGAACCGTCGGAAAGGTCGCGCGGCGTCACGGAAAGCAGATATGGCATTGTTTAAAATTTATGAAGTACAAAACATTTTAAAAATTAGCTCGCTATTTTCTTGGGAAAGAGATTCCCAGCTGAACGTTTTAAAAGCAGATAATGTCGTTTAGAGATCAAAATCAGTTGTAGGATAAAGAGCTCGTGGGTATACTCCGCTCATTTTTTACGGTATTTGAAAACGAAGGATCTTAGACAAAGCTGGAGTGAAAAAGAAAGAACCTAGAAGTGACATATAATCTAAAAATGATGTGAGGAGATGGAATAATGTATGTTTACAAATTTAGTTCCTTTTTTTAAATCGTTAAAATAGGAATCAATATTTTGAGTAATGCATCAAATTTTAATGGTATTCGAGGAAGACAGAAATATGTGAAAAAGATAGTTATGTTATATATTACAGTAAACAGATTGAGATACAGTGCGAACGCATAACGAGTGTGTAGCTTGCGTGTCCGCAAGTACCGTTCCTCCGTCGGGGCTGGCCGCAGACGCCGGGATGGCGTGCCACGCCTGAAGAGGGCCCAACACGGGGGGTGGTTGGCAACAGGCGCGAGTAAGAGGAAGTGGGGGGGCGAGGTGTTTTCGTAATTTTACTTTAAAGCTCAATATTAGGTCGAAATTTGCCATGATTGTCGGGGTGGGATTCAGGAGCATGTCGGCATCGCGCTAAAGGCCAATTTTTAAATTTGTTCTCAAAGTTGAGAAAATTTCAAATTGCGTTTTGTTAGATTTTTGGAAACAAAGGTATCGTAGGTAATTCTATTTCAATAAGGCGTATTAACGTTTACAGATCGAAATTTCGACATTGTTTAGACGTTTAGGTAAGTAAATTTTATTTATTTTGGTGCTGCCACGTGGTGGCTACAAATTGTACTAGTGTCGGAACATTTAGCCTGAAAACAAGAATTAACATACGACCTCCTAACCTCACTACATGACAAAATGTATTCCAACGTGTTGAAAGTTGAAAATGAATGTTCTAGTTACAAGGAATGAAAATTGTGTAGCTGTGAAATAAAAGTTTAGCTGCCGTTCAAATACAGAGTTCATACTTCAGAAACAAAAATATAATTTCAACCGTGAAATGGTGCACGAGGAGAAAAGTGCAGTAGGAATGGTGCATTTCCTTGCTACGAGGAAGCGGGACATCTGATATGTTATTAAGAGTCGTGCGAAAATGGCAACGAGGATATGAGAGGAAGCCTACACTAGGGTGGAGGACGCGATAAGCAATTCAATGCTTGGAGGACAGCTCATTCCGCGGCCTCGTTTACAATTAAAACAATTTTTAAAATAATTATCGTAATATGACTCGAGTTAATCGGTTCCGTCGAGGCGGTGGGAAAGTACAGTCATCGTAGTTTCTATTTCTCAGAGTGAAGTTCCGGTTGAGCCAGGTACGACTTTTAAGGAAACATCCCGCTACCGTTTCCAGTTCTTGCTATTTGTGTTCCATCCTTCCCAGCTGTTTGGCAGGTACACATTCTGACTGTCAGAGATTTCGTGTTTTTCCCGTCTACCAGTGTTGTAAGGTTGAGTTTTCAAACATTCAGAGGTGCGATTTTCAGAATGGTTCAGATATAAATCCATTTTTTTAAAATATTTAAGGTCTCATCAACTTCTAGGTCATTAGCGACCATTATTGCTTGTAACGGTATGGTAACTGTGAGGGTGACACGATAGGATGATGATAGGGGTGAAAAAAGGAACACAATGCAACCATACCCTAGGCGGGACACGAATCCGCGATCCTTCGGTCCGAAATCGCTACGACACTACTGCTTTAACGATCTCGGCCATCGGATCTGCGGTGACGGGTTTCTATTGCAGAAAAAATCCCGTAAATGCGGTTTTGTAAATAGGAAATAACCCCCCACCCGCATTGGTTTATCATATTTAAAACTAAAAATGACGAATTTTGGTAATTAGATATAAAAAGTCAATGAAATATCTGAAGGTCTTCCATATACAAAAGATGATTTAGCCGGTACAATACAGTTTCTCCCACTTTAATTCCAATGTCAAAACTTGTGGAATTCAACAGGTTTAATAAAGGATGCATGCAGGGGACAAATCAGAGAGGGCTGAGTGAATCTCCTTAAAAAATACCTTTTCGCACAATAATAGTTTCCTTTTCGATATAATAAACGGGAGTACTCAGGACGTTTGAATTGAATTGAATTGAATCGAATCGAAGCGATGACTTATTTTACGTGTCGAGACTCGGGCCATCAGGGCCGCTCTTCCGTCTGACCACGCAAATTTCGCTACGTTCCTTTCACCCACTAGCGGATAAAGGAGGTATTTCTTGGGCAACGAACAGGCGATTTTGAATTTAGCTCACAGGCGTCATTTAAGCTTGATGATCTTTTACGTGTAAGTAAATCTACTAACATGGGACAGCCGGTTTTACTTCCCCTCGCAAATTCAACAACACATGCTTCAAAAAAACGAGATAACTTTTGGAGAGCAACCGTAGATCTTGAGTATTTCTATCAGCCAGGTATGTGGCACTAAGTCAAAGGCATGCTTATAATCAATATACGCCACTTGCGGATTGCGGTGTTTTAGATAAGCTTCACCTCATAGCACCACTAAGTCAATGGTCTTTTGTTCTTTATAGCCTATGGAGCCACAGCCTTCCGTTGAATTGCAATGATATCATTGTTACTATAGTGAAAGTATACGTGTTTTGAAAGTAACAATGTGTTTATTTTATACTTCGTTGGCAAGCACGAGATCAGGCAGTAATTTGTTGGGTCTTCTTGGGTTTGGGAGTGTTTTGGTATTAAATATGCAACCCCATGAGAAATAAATTTTGGTATCTCATGTGGATGCTGTAGAACATCATTAATCAGTTCAGTTAGTCTTTGGTAAGTTTACACAACCTTTTATACAAGAAATGAATTTTATCTGGCCCTGGTTCCTTTGAGTTAAGTAGGTTCTTGATTACTTCACTAGCCTCACTGGTAAATTGTAGGAGGTGACATTAACGTTCTCACAGCGTTTATTTTCTCCTCCAATCCAACTGGCCCTCATGTCGCATTTCAGGGACAATTTTTGGACAACTAACTACTCCAAAATTCACTTACCTGCTCATGTGCTGTGTACAATCCTTCGTAATTGTCTTTTTCTTTTTTCCCTAGTTCCCTTTTCCCTAGGCAGTTTGTTAGCACAGATAGTGTCTGTTTCAGAGGATCTAAGATGTATTGCCTCATTAGGTTAATCGTGATGAGAGTGTCTTCTAGGTCTGGCCGTAATACCCTCCTCTAGTTTTACGAGCTTTTTTGAACGAAAACCATCGGCACAACTGATCGTACGGGTAATATCACATCTCAGTCTTTCAATGCTTCCAACAAGGCGTCTCTGACAAGGCGGCGTCAACCGACCTCGTCGCTGTCTTCGTGTCGATTGTTTAGTCCAACGTTCCTCTCTCCAATGTATGACAAAATTGAGATTTTGCCGATCATGCCCTACTACCACTTTCTTGTAAAACCTCACGATTCTTGCCATATGAAATTCTTGTATATCAAGAATATATTATTATTATTATTATTATTATTATTATTGTTATTATTATCGTTATTATTATTATTATTATTATTATTATTATTATTATTAATTTTGTTATTATTATTAGTTAGTGCTATCTAGGAGACAATTTCAACATTTATTTTTAAATTGCTTTTCTTCTTTCTCCAGTACTCCTTCATCTTCTCACTATGTTTCATTTTCCTCTCTTCGGACCAATAGGACCTTCCTTGGTAAACTTCCATTTTTTGAAAATTTTGATTTTAAAAATCTGTGTTTCTTCTTCTCTTACCTTGTTTCGTTCCATCGTTCACTTCTTCTTCTTCTTCTTCTTCTTCTTCTTCTTCTTCTTCTTCTTCTTCATATTATTATCATTCTTATCATTATTACTGTTGTTGTTGCTGTTGTTTAATCCTGTAATGTGCGTCTATGTGTGTGCTGCAGAGGCGGACGCGCGCGTGGGCGCGGCGCAGGCGCTGCTGCGCGGGGAGCGCGCCTTCGCCGACGCGCTGGGCGCCGCGCAGGAGCTGTACGCGCGCCCGCTGCACAAGCTGCAGTGCCTGCCCGAGGAGCAGCACCGCGCGCTCTTCGCCGGCCTCGCCCTGCTCGCGCCCGGCGCCGCGCTCCTCCAGCGCAGGGTGAGTGGCGCGACGCGACGCCACGCGGACGCGAGGGAGAGGGAGGGAGGGAGGGAGGGAGGCGGGAATGCGCGCGGGTTGGTGCGGGAACCAAGCACACGTGCGTATACATGCACGCGAACATGGACGAGGGAACAAATGTACGCGAATACGTGTAGGAACACGTAGGTTCGATCGCAACATGGTCTACGTACGATCACATGCGTACAAAATCATGAACACGAACACGCGTATACGAGCATGCATATACGAGCATACATATTCGAGCATGCATATTCGAGCATGCATATACGAGCATGCATATACGAGCATGCATATTCGAGCATGCATATACGACCATGGTTATATGAGCACACATATACGAGCGCATATACACGAGCACATGTTCAGTATTCGAGCACACATATATACGAACACATGTATGCGAACACATGTATGCGAACACATGTATGCGAACACATGTATGCGAACACATGTATGCGAACACATGTATGCGAACACATGTATGCGAACACATGTATGCGAACACATGTATGCGAACACATATACGTACCCACTTATTCAGATCCGATTATAGAGCACGTATAAACGGGCACATATATACGGGCTTCAGGAATATGAACAAATGAATTTGATCACATGCATACAAACACATTTATGTGAATGCTTGCATACGAACACATAAACATACATGCATTGGAACACGGGAAGTACACAGAAACAAAACGCATTCCAACGCTTTTATACAAACACGCATATACCAAAGCGCCCAAACGAATACATTCAAATGATGTAACACGCATAAACACGTACGAACAAGCACATTAGGACAAACTTCTTCACCTGGACCTGAATCTCAATTTCAACTTGAAGTTTCCGAAGCATATTGCTGTTCGTAGTACAGTCCATGGTATCCGGACCAAGAAGAAGTTTTGGAACTTGCTTCTGACAGGTTCTACCTGCTTTGGGGGTGCTGAATTCGAATTAGAAGTTTGCGACCTTGAGAAATAGTCTTAACAGAGTAAATCGCAAAAAAAAAAAAAGTCCTTTTCTCCGGTATTTTGCTTATACGAGTATCTGGAAAACTATGTGCTTTTTCGAACGAACATTTATAAAGAAAATGAAAGTAGACAAAAATATTTATAAAATGTTTATTTGAATGGGCGAAAACCAGAACGGTTGAAGTGATATCTTATAAATTCAGAGAAATCTCTTTATTTAAGTCAATATTACTGTAAAGACGCCGTGCTTTGTTTCATCATTAAAACCATGGCAATTCAAGTGTCCATTAAAAACCCGAAACTACATTGTCACTGAAATGAAGCCTAAAATAAACACGTTTTTCTCAGAAATCACAAAATGTCACTTATACCGTTATGGTTGTCACTCATTTATTTAACTCTAGTATTTTGACAAGCAGTTGAAGCGCTAGGACGTCCTATAAACGGCTAGTTTTGGCTCTCTGGTTAAATGGAGAAAGGCTTTCTTTGACTTAAACACTCGCGGTTGCGCTCGACCTTCACTTCTACTAGAATTGGAATTCAGCGACATGTAGAGCAGCAAAACACGCAGAAGGATGGGAAAATAGAGAATTATTTCGGGAATCGAGTTACTTTGAGCACCAGTTGACTGGACTAAGAGTCATTAACAATTCCCCATTTGATTTTGTTTATATAGAAGAAAGAAGTGGCATTAACAAAAGAATGATAAAATGTAAATTATTTCGTGATGAAGTTAGCTTTCGATATAATTAAATTTTTGAAGGTAACGAAAATGAAGGACGTGGAAATGAGAGTAAACCATGATTTTGAAACTCAAAATAATAAACTTGTTTAAATACAGGTACATATTACTTTAAAGAAGTATTTAAAAATTGAGAAAATATTAAATGTAACTACATTTCGGTCTTCAAATTTGTTGTTTTTTGTGGCGTTCTTCAGGAAATGTCATATGTAACTTACAATTGAAATTAAAAATTATAAATGTACTAACATTCATTACACAATATTTAAGAAAGTAATACTACGTGAAAATCAATTGTCTATTTCGAGTTTGATAATATTATATGCAGATGTTAATTATGTGTTGGACAGTCTCGAAAATTGCTGAAAAATAAAGCATCTTGGGAACTAATCTGCAAATGTCCAATGCGAGAGTGGTATTTATTTACACTATTCCACAAATGAAATGACCTCCCAAAAGATTTCCGTAATGCATCAAACTTTAATTACATTAACGAAACTTGCGCTTTCGGTGCACACCGCTACCTATGTCTGATAATTGGAGAGTATAGAGACGTGATAAGAAAAATCAGAGAGAAACATTTATATTTTTTTAGATACAGCACCATGATTAGCGTATATCACAAGTATTCTTAAACGCTATTCCAGTGTTTTTCATGTCTGTAATGTAGTAATTGTAAATATACTATTCTCCTTTCTAGTTCGCGATTGTGTAGCTGCTTAAGCAAGATTATTGTTATCGTAAAATGTTTTCATGAGCGTAAACAAGTTGAAAGAAACAGGTGTAGTAAAACTTAAACTAGTGCTACGACATAGCACACACGTATTCGTCATGTCTTTCGTCCATTACGATAATGTAAAATGGCTTTATTTTTTTAAAAGTCACAACATACAAATCAACAATTTTGGAAGTTCTTTTCATCTCTCGTGTGTTTAAAGGAAGTTAAAAATCAGTTAATTGTTTTTCCCCTTCTAGTAACGTTTGTTTGACTAAATTAGAGCCAGTATCTTTTCAAGACTTTTTCTCATTTTTTTTTGTTGTTTCATTTAATCCTTTCAATCTAGTGCATTAAAATTGTGGTTTAACAGTTTACAACATCGTCGCTTTCGTAGAAAAAAGTTATGGCGATTACATAAAAAGACGCGACCAAACAAAACTAAAATTCAACGTAATAGGGCTTCTTGCATCATTACGTCTTCCTCGCCTATTTTCTGCATTGTTTGTACTTCCGATACACCGCCGCAAGGTCAAGTGAGCGTCATGCTTTCCTACCTATCAGGAAAAGCTCTTGTCTACGGTTCACCTTGGCGAGTCCCCAAGACGAAGTGCCTCCAGTCAAGGGCCAAATGCGTGACAAATACTTTTGCAGATCATTTTCTCTGGTTGTACAGACACTACAATGGTTAATTTTTTTCTCGCTTTCAATGCGAGTGACTTAAAAGGGGAAAGACTTATTCTCTTCGATAATAATTGATGTCCTTCTTGTTAAGTTGGTTATTTTGCAAATTAACTACGTTTCGCTTGAGAAAATTTTCCATCTGGATCGAGCTTGCGTAGAAGTTAGGTGCAATAAATAATTCGTAATGTTAATAGGCCGATAATCACCAAACAACAGATTCGATTGAAGTTTGAGGTGATTGATTACTTCACTCGTTTATTTATTATTTCACTCATTTATTTACACTCGTATTATTCCGAAAGCAGTTTATCGTAGGCTAGAGCAGTACGTATAACAACAGGGGGCGGGCAACTATATTTCTGGACCCCCTTGTCTATTTATACTTTTTATTTAGGTTTTTGCTAATATTATTGGTAAAAGCGTGTCTACTACATGAAGAATAATATTTAAATAATATAGATGCAATTAATAAACATTATTGATTTTATGTTAAAACATTTACGTGGTTGCAAGATACCTTGGGGAGCTGCTTCCCCAAGTGTGGTGTAACAATTTATTAAAGGTGGAAATGAGGTTTTCAAGTATTTAAGGAAATAGTTTCATAATTTACATAAGGCTATGGGCGGCCCCCTTCCGAAATATTTAGAAGCAGGGCTCCCTGCTGTACTTGTGCCCACGTTTAATCATTTTGTCGCTTTATTGGGCTTTATTTGGGCATTCTGAATATAAAAAACGTTGCTTAATTTTAAAAAATGTTCCCCCACGTGTAAGTGTGCAACATCCAACTAGATCTTAATCACATCTTTAATGTATGCCCCAGGTACATCCTTCCTACACAACTATTTAGATATTAACGTGATATAATTTTTCATCCTTAAAAAGTTCAATTAGCATTCATTAACTTATGTAAAGCCATCAATATATTTTTTTGATATCTAACCACTTTACTTCATGTAAATTGGCATTTTTCGTTTCATTATAATATATTATTTAATATAGTATAGGAACTTACTGGAAATATACCCAGTAATGAAACCTAATGCTCTGTAATACTCGCTAATAACAGTGACCTCGATGGGACTTCTTTAATGCAAGAGGAATATTTTTATAGACAAATCAAAATCAAATTCACATTCAAATCATTTGCGAGGGAGGTAGTTCGTCTTTTTACTCATTGAAAGTCAGAAACAGTTTAAAACCGTGTGTGGCGTATTATGGGGAGATGAGATTCTATGTACGTTTTCTTAAATTCTGGGATCCCATCTCTAACCTACACTTTTGTGTACCCACAAATTGAATTCTGAATACAGATGGAAATAAGCGTTTTGACAAAAATTGATTATAAAATATTTTCTCCCACGTAATAAAAAGTATTTGCGAAGACAAATCAGTCACAGATTTTATCTGTTATCCTTCGTGAAGGAATGGACTTTCTGACGCGGGTACATGGAAACGATTATTTGAATATTTATAATTCCTGCTCAACTTAGATTTGCACAGATAGTGGAGTCACATTTCTGTACTGTTCTCCAAAACGCGCTACTATCGAGCTCTATGAATTAGCTTCCGTGAACTCGGCATGAAGGACTTCCATCACGCCGAGTTTTGTACAATATTTTGCATTTCTCAATCCTGAATGCTTCGTTGTTAGTCGCAGATCTCTATTTTTTAATCAGTCTGTCATTTAATTCCCATCGGATCACATGGAAATTCTATAATTTCACGAAATTTCAGAGTCAACTTTAATGTTTATAAAATTTCTTAATTAATTTTAATTATAGAATGGCCAGTAGATCTTGTAAAAACACTCAGCGTGAACTGATAGTAACTTGTTTAATTTTGACGTTTCGGTAAAACAAAATTTGACATTTTCTAGGGACGTGTGACATTAATTTAGAAAAATCTACATTTCTGGTCATTAATTTGGTAGGGATGCGGGACAGAGTAAATTTTTGAATGTATTTTACAAAATTGGAAGACTGTACACTTTATTTGACGTTTCAGTACTAAATGTTGTAACTTAGTCTTACAGTTCTTGTAAAAGTTCAATATTGCATTTCTTTTGATTCTTTCTTCCCTATTTACAAAAACATTCCGATTATTCAACAGCCGCATCAGCTTACATTTAATTTAAATTGTTTTAATCAAATTTATAAAGGGAACAGGTAAACTTGCGCGCGGTAAATATGTTACAGGATTCCGTGTAAAAACATGAAACGTATCTTGGGATGTTCGAATTTCCCGCCCTAGCCAGGCCGTCTTCAGTCGGTGAAGACGACTCTCAGTGGCGAACTCTAGCAGGCAGATACACAACTATGGCAGGGACTGCCAACAGCGATTTCTCGTCTCACGAAAGTCCCTAATGAAAAAATACTAAATGTACTTGACGAGGACGTGAAAAATGCTAAGAATGTTCACAATCGTTCATTGCAATTGTATGAAATTAATTATGTATATATTTTTAGTTAAATAAAAGATCCACATTGTCAATATAAATGAAGGGATTTTATCACAACCTACGTAACTACAAATATAGAGGTAGAGTGTATATTTCGATGTTATACTAATATTTATTAATATTTAAGTAATGAAACTACAATTATTCACAGTAGAAATAAAATGTGCAATTAAACTCGTTCTGGAACTACATGTAAATGAATGATTCAGATCATCGCAAAACTTCCTTAAATTTCCGTTGTTGCAAGTAAATGCTGAACTGAAAATGTAGTATTCAAATGTCAAGGAAATTAAATTAAAGCTACTTTGAACTGTAAAGTTCGGCTCTTTAGTTAAGGCTGAGTCATTTGTAGTAGAACTTTCCTGTAATACACAATATAAATAAACCAGTCTCTTCTAATACATATTATCTTGTTATGCAAATCATCTTTGTTTCTATTCAATTTAGAGAGAAACACTGAACAACAAATTTTGGAATTATTTATTATGAAATAAAATTGGGAAATAATTTTAAACACACTGTGAAATTAAAATACGAGTATATAGTCTATATTTTCATAGTATACAATTGTATGCCAAAAACTCAGAATATGTAATTTAAAAATAAATAAGTCATACAGAATTAAAAATGAAAATACGTAATAATTAAATCGTGAAACCACGCAATGTAACTAGCATATTTATATTCAATTTTATAAAGGCTTCCAATTCAATAATATTACGATTTAATTCATCCAGAAGTATTATAAATAGTATAGTATTATAATAGTATAAGTATTACAATCGAATTTATGAAAAATGTCTACCATATTGCCTCCAATTGAAATTTTGTTTCGTGTAGGAACGAGTAGGTATAGGCGCGCAGATAGGAAGTGTGGGTGTTGGCAACTATAAGAGGGTTCGAGCTTCCGCGGAGAGAGAGCGCTGGAGTCGCTGTGAGCGTTGACTGTTGGCGCTGCCGATGGCATCCTTACACTTAGTACACGTGTTACCCACGTGTGCTATCAGTTCTGCTTTCGAGATCGCCACGAGTAATGACATTGTAAGGTTGCTCGGTTTAAAATTGCGCGGCAATTTTAAACTGTACAATTTAAATCTTACTGAAAATTATTGAAAATAACGTGTTAATGTTAATGATAATTGTATTATTAATTTTGTTTTATATTTTTTTTTATAATTTTCATTTTGAATTGATCACTGTAAACTATACCACTACTTGAAATCACTTTTGATTGTAAATTAAATTCGTACCACCAAGTTTCGCCAATATTGTTATTTTCTCTCAGTAAGAAATTAGTTTAGTTTAAAGTCAGAGATAAGCATATTTTTATAACAAATCATTAATGGACTAATATGTGTAATATAAATTTATAATGTTTAAATAGAAGATGTAAAACTTTACATTATCGAGAAGACATCTCCTATGACGTCTTAATTTCGGGGTTAGCTTTACTTGAATAGCTTTACACTTTACGTAAGGGTACACTTTACTTAGCTTTACATTTTACGTAAGACCACTCAATAGTAAAATGACAGAAATCTTTCATAAGTTACATTTTGCGAAACCTGGTAACGGCGTTTTGATGAATTTGCATCTCAACGTCTTATGATATTTTAAATAATTACAACAATTAAATACAAAACCATCAACGGGTAGTGTCGAGAATGAAAAATTATTTTTTTGAAAGAAATGAATTAGGGGATTTGTAGGATTCAAAAGAGATTCAAAGATGTAGATTGTAGGATCTCTACTCATATATATGTGTGTGTGTGTGTGTATGAGTAGAGGGATCCGACTATTCTTCAAACATTGTCTTTCTTGAGAAGTTGATAAGCCCATACGCAAGCCAAGGAAGCTTTTGATGTTGTTCTTCAACACATCGAATAAAACGAAACCTCTCTAAATTTGAAGACAAAAATGGAGGAACATTGCAGATAAATCTATACTAAATCAAACTAAAAAAAAATAAAATTTAAAGTTTAAAATTAAAATAATTATTTGATATATAATTTTTAATAATAATTTTTAAATTAAAATTTGTTAAAAATCACTGACAATGTGTTTTCGTATTTTGCTTTTGTATTTTGTTTCTGTGGTTTATTTTAGATGTGTTTTTGAACTTAGTAAATGTTCTAAATAAACCTTCAATGTAATATTATATTTTCTTCTATTAATCTGTTCCTTTTACTGATCTGCTTTTCGTGTTGCAGCTGACAGAGGCGCTGGAGGTGTGGGTGCCCGGCGGTTCCGAGCCAGACCTCGGTGAGTGGAGTAAATGCCTCCGCGAGGGGGGCAGAGCGTTAACTTCGGATTTTTGCATATGAGGCTGTGTTATTCCTTTTACTGCAAACGCAATATTTTAGATGATATCCATTTTCAGTTAGTATTGCACACGAATTCATAAGCCTAAATGAATAATAAATGAATTTTTAGTGTAAATTCCTCTACACTGCATTAAATAATAAACTTGTATAAGTATCATACGTCGTTGGTAGTTGTTTAATAAAGTAGGTTATTTATAACACGCATAGCTCATCTCGTCACTTCATCCGGAAACATTTAATACATAAACTAAAGACTCGCTTTGTTTATAAGTTACGTAAACAACAATTTGCGTTATTGTGTCTGATTCAATTCAATTTACTGATGCCTTATTTCACGTGGCGAGACTCAGGTCATTAGGCCTGATCTTCCGTCTGACCACGTAAATTTCACTACGCCCTTCACCCTCTAGGGGAGAAAGAAGGTATCTCTCGGCCTACGAAACAAGCGATTTTTAAAAAATAACCCAGAAGTTTCTTTTAGGTTTGATATTTTTTACAAGCAGTAAATCTACAACACAGGACAGTCAGCTTTACTTCCCTTTCCGAAGGAAGGGTACGAAGGATTTTGTCGCCCCCTAAAATCCACGGCTTCAACCCGCAAACGTGAATATAACAGTCCTATACGCTAACAGTTGTACCGTTCACCTAATTTTCAGTTAATTGAAAATTCTCTGGCACTGCTCATGCGCTACCGCGCTTGTCCGAGGAAATTTCTGGAAGCTCCTCCGCAGCCACCCAGCGCCTTCTCTTTTTTTACGAGCGCGGCCCTTGCGGGAGGGCTGTGATGATAAGGGATGGAAACCCGAGCCGCGGGGGGGGCTCCTAAAAAAGGGAGGGCAACCCGAGACCGCCGTCGCCCCCTCCCCTCGCACGTGCGGGCCCCGTTGGCGCCCCTGGGCGATGCTATCTGCCGGGCGACGGCGGGCGGTGGAAGGAACGAGCCAGGAACAGACCTGCACACTGTTTGGTAGGGGTTGCCACTTTCTGGGGGAAAACAGGAATATCTGATTGGTAGATATCTGTGCTTTCTCTAATGGATTTCTAATGGGCTCTTGCGGCGGCGGTGGTGGTGTAACGGTTAGCGTATCAGACTGTTGTACTCAAGTTCGCGGGTTCAAACTGTGGATTTTTAAGGGCGAAAAAATCCTTCTTACGCTTTGTGAGGGGAAGTAAAGGCGGCTGTCCCATGTTAGCAGATTTACTGCATGTAAAATATCCTCAAGCCCATATGAAGACTGTGATTCAAATTGCCTCTTTCGTCGCGCAAAGGAAGAAGTACCTCCTTTCTCTGCTAGTAGGTGAAAGGTGCGTAGCGAAATTTGCGTGGTCAGAAGGAAGAGCAGGCCTCTATCTCGCCACGTAAAATCGATTGCCACGAAAAGGCATCGATGCAATTCAATGTATACCGATAATATGCGGGACTAACAAACGGACAGTGCGCTATTTTTCCTTCCTCTTCTTTGTGCTAGGGTTTTTGAACATTAAAAATGGCATACTGCTTGCTTTATATTTTAAATTTACACACATTTTGTCTTAGAACAATTATCCAATTTATTTAAGACATTACTTCATACACCTCACAAAGCTTTTCATGAGTCCCCGTTCATAGTTCAAATCACTTTCAGTAATAGATATACGCTGTCATTGTTCTTCATAGCATAAACAATCTTTGTCATATATATTATTTCTAAAACGTACTATTTAAACATCCCTTTTCCGGATGAACTATTAAATTATTGTCGGTATATAAGGTGTTTCTTGAAAGCTGGAAGTCCCCAAAGACTGCACGTGTAACTTACATGTTTTATGTGCTATATAAATATCATTAATATACATAAAAAACTTTTTGGACAAGAACACGTCTATCACAGACGTAAGCAACAAGTTCAGGGGGTGGCATGGAAGTCGCAGCGCATCTGTTATACGCAGTCTTAGATGGGCAGTTTAGAAAAGTAGCTAAAAGCCGCATTTGCCTTTATCAGCGTGTGGTTCCACTGCACTTCTGAATTTGCTATGTAATTTTGAGGGTGATGGCAACGGCGATCGTACTGAACAAGACAGGGTATGGCGAGTAGGAACGGGGTCAGACGAGGCAGCACTGGGCAAGCACTGTGGACATTAGGAGGGTGGATTTGGACCGGTCGGTATAAGGCAGGGCAAGCCAGAATACATTAGGCACACTTAGATCATATCATCCTGTCTGAATACATGAATGTGATAAATAAGTAAATCATTGGTTCGGCTGTAAACTCCCCGTGCGAATTAATTGCACAGGTTTCCTTTTTTTTGTCACCTCCACAGTAACCCTGTGGAGAAGGAGAATTTATTTCTTTAAATTTTGTACATTGTACTGCTGTCTTGCGGCTGAAGCAGCTTAGAAGAGGGGCTTTTTCTTACAGCTAATTTTACATTCTAGACCTAAAGTTAACTTACTTGCACTTTGGCATTACTAACTTACACTAAGATCAGTTTTGTTATACTATGTACTACATAAATTGTTGTTTTACGGGTGAGGCATTTCTTTTCCTAGCAGTATTCTTACGAACAATATTCTGGATCCAAAAACGCAACAAATTCTACTCGTTACATGAAAATATTTCCTTCGCGCCCACTGCGCAGATGTGTGGCCGACTGCGCGCGCAGCCCCTTTCTCCGCATTCCTCCCCCCCCCTCCGCCCACTCGCTGTATCTGCGCGCCGTCGTTTCTGCGCGACCGCGCGCTGGCCGCCCCGCCCTCTTGCGTCCGGACGGCGCTCGGGGCTTTTGCGTTTGAGCGCATCTTCTGTGTTGGAGGACGAAGGTTCCTCTGATGTTTGGGGACACGCGGTGGGCCTTTGTTCTCTTCCCTTCCGTCAGTGAGTCGGAGTTTTACGCGACGGACGGGGGGGGGGGGCAGAAATGACCTTTTACGTGTTTCGAAACGAAAGTACTGCATTCGGAGGTAACTGAAGGGGACTGAAAAAGGAACTGACAAGACGCCTCATGCACTGGGGCTACATATAGTTGGGATATTTATTTTGTTATAATTTATTTGCTAGTTTAAATCAACCATTATAACTGTGTAGAATAATTGTGCGAATAAAGATTTTTTTGCTAAAAAGCCAGTCAATTTGTGATCTTCGATTGATTATTTCGACTTTCCAGGCGAGTCAACTGTTGTGTTCATTTGTTCATTTGTTCCGTTAATGTAGTGAATATTTTATCGCCAGAGGTGTTCTTCATTCCTTGGAGGGTAAGATCCAGTGCCAAACTACACGCCCGCTTTCGGGGGGGGGGGGGCTCAATCAAGTATCTCACACCAGCGACTCCGCCCCAACCAGGAAAAGCTCTAAGCTCTCGACTGATCTCCCAGCATGTGTAACGTAGTGCATGTAAATGTAAGTATGTGTAAAAAAGGGGGGGGCTGAGGATAGGACAAGGAAGAGAAAGAAAGATCGCGCGCGGTCTGTGGCCCGTTTTTTAGGGTACTGCTCCGTCTGGTATTGATCGGAGAATACAGGAAACACTACCGATCAGAGTAGCCGGCCGCTAGAATTCTCTTCCAGATAGCGACTGAATTCGAGCTAGCTCTGTAGGTAGTGTCTAAACTACTGCCATTGGCATGACTTGAACCCAATGACCTTCCGGTGAGAAGCACTGCAGTGATATCAATTGATTCCCTTAGCCACCTCATCCTGTGTACTCTTCGTCAAAAGCAGGCGCGTCTATTGAGGCTTCTCCCTTTAGTAGCCGAATTATTCACAAATGTATAGATAGATTCTAAAAATGTTCTGTGATAACGATTGTCAGTAAATATATAATTTGAATACGCCATAAATTACTGAAAATCAACAAATAAAATAAATCAATTCAGCATCAATAAAAAATGCATTATAAGAAAACAAAGCTTGCAGGGCACTACAGGTACAACCTCCTCCTTCTAGAGAAATTCTGGTTGCCTCACACGTTAAAAATAAACGTATTTAATCGGAAAAAAGATATTTTTTATATATTAATTTTTCGTGTTTTTGTGACCTTCTTTGTAAAAAAACGCATTTTATTGTGCTAGGATGTGCTTTGGAATGTCTTTTGAAAGTTCGCGACCCACTGATTCTTCTAAGTTCCTCTGATGAAGATTCGTCCTGATACTTCGGAACAATGGCAACTTTTTCTACTTTCTTTCTTTCGTCAACGAATGGACGTTTTTACGCTATAGTTGGTTTGTATGACAAAGACGAATCAAACCCAAACATCTTAAGGCTGTGAAGAAAGTGTTTTCTACCTCACATGCAGACATTTTTAAAACTGTGTCAGTGCATATTCTCAATTATCAATCTAAATTATTCATTTTTAATTCGAAAATTTCTATTGAAAAAATTTGTAAGAACAAGTGGTCTGTAGTATATTATTTCTGATGATGTTTATTTTCAATCTTTCAGTAGGAACAAAATTCAAGAATTTTAATGTTATTAATACAGCGTAATAATTCCATAAGTAATCACACGAAATATAAAACACCGTTTCGGTAATAGCTTCTCTGTTTTAGTATTTGCGAATTCAAATATAATTTAAAAAATATACATATTCGTTTCCTTACTTTTTTATCTTTCCTGCATTTTCGTGCATTGTTTCTTTAAAATCGTGATTTAATATGTCAATATAATAAGTAGATTTGGGCTGCTTTGATCTCAAATGCAATACGAGGTACAATAATGAAGCGTACCAGGCAACTTGGAAGAAGTGAGTTTACTTGCCATTACTTTTTTCATCCCGTTAAAAGATGCCGAAGTATTCTCTTGCACTACCATAACAGTTCCCTATTCCTCTCAGAGGCATTATCCACAAGACGACAGCCTTTGGGAACAATGCGGTTATAGCATATTTACAACCAGCAGAAACCAGACTCGCCAAAATATGCCAAATGTCAAACATTTAAATAGTAGCAAAGGTTATTTTATA